GAAGTCGTCATGAAGATGTGTGTACATTAATGTTTATTTATTTACCCAACAATACCCATGAGCCTTCACTCTTCATCATGTTCATGATTTTATTGACACGTTTCATTCAAACTATCAGGAACTGAAAGCTGTTATGTGATATCACACATCTTTTCATGGAGCTGTTACTGTGTGTGTGTGTGTACAGGTTGCTGTGGTGCGACCTCTGCTCTGCTGTCCCAGATGTCTCGGAGGAGAACCAGTAAGTTCTGTGTGTGTGAGAGAGAGAGAAAGAGATATCAGGCCTGAAGCAGGTTTATCGTCTGACCTTTGACTTTCAGTTTGTCTGCAGCTGTCAACAGGGTGTGTTCGATTCATGATTAGACTCAGACCTCCAGGCTAACTTTTTCATTGAAGTGCACCCAAAGGTTTTCACTGCTCCTTTTGGCACCACAATAATAAAACTATCTTAACATGGGCTATCACCACTGATTTCTCAAATCAAATCAATTCCAATTCACAAGGTTTTTGATTCAATATGGATTCAGTGCAGGATATTTCATTGTACAAACCCAAGTGCTTGGAAATGGAAGAGATTCTCAGAGAACTACAGCTGTAAACTGAACGAAGACACCTCTCACTTGGTGTATGTGTCTCACTGTCAGTGGGGGCGGGGCCTATATGTGCGAGTGTAAACTCCGCAGAGGAGATGAGGACGCTTGTCGATCAGTTTAATGTTTCACCGGAGCTCTGAGGTTTTACAATGTCACCAGGCCCCGCCCAGACACTAAGCCTCGGCTGCAGTCAGTCAAAATTAAGCTCTGTGATTGGATTTATGTATGTGAAAGGCATCCTGGGAATTCAAGTTAACTTGTGCTTTTATCTCAGGGTCACATCAACCACATCATGGGACACTGATCGTCAACACTCCCACAGGAGGGGCCCCGAGTCCAGACGCCCAATTCTGATTCAGTTTCTCTGACTCTGATGATGTTGTTGTGTGCACGCCCACTTATAGGACCAATCAGGAGTTTCTTTATCATGTAGATGTTTTCCAGGAGAATCTGACATCAGAGAAATTCCCTCTGAACCTTGGATGTCCATGTGTTCTTGAATGCACCATAAGGTGGCATTTGGAGAAGCTGCCGTCCAATCACATGCTTCTCCTCATTCCTGACATCTGATTCAGACACAGCAACATCATCGGCAGTGATTCGTCCGTCGCTCAGTGAACTCATCACTTTAATAAATGCGTGTTTTTCTGTTAATAACTAATCAATAATCAATCACAGTAAAGGGCTGTTAAAATGCCACCGCCACTCTGATCACGACTTCTCATCGCTGTAAAACTTCAGATAAACTTTATTGATCCTGAACGATCATGTGACTCGTGTTCAAACTGAGGCTTTTAACGTCCTCACTCAACACTCCACATGATCACTGTCAGCCAATTAACGACTGTCACTTCCTGTTTGTACGTTTATATGAAGCAGAGTTCTATTTTTTAATCCAGTTTGTTTTTGACGTGACTGAAACAATGTAAAACTATTTCCCTCTTTGGTTCTGACCAATCAGAGGGCAGCATTTGCACCGCAGCCTGAGATACAATAAAAATATGACTAAAAAAACTTCTGAGGCGTTTTCTATGATGGAGGAATTGAACCCTGCACTTTGTCTAACAGCAACATCAATAATCAATCATTTAACTCTGTGATGAACAGAAACTGGAGGAAACTTAAAAACAAAGTTCTGTTCTCTGAGATCAACTTAACAAATTATTTGAATATTTGATTCAAATCACTTCATTAAAGACACATTTTAATTCATTTAGTTTTTTATTGAGATATTTTAACATAAAATGTCCCATTTAATAACAAAAACCAGAGTCTGGAGAAGAATAAAACGTCGGCTGCGTCACCCAATGAACCTGAAGAACTCAGTAAGCCCCGCCCTCCTCAGCTGTCAGTCGGAGCATTTTTGTGTTTCTTGGCAGCAGGAGCGTCACCTGTTGAGGTACAAACACAGAACATGAGAACTCTGCAGTCACATGTTCCTCACATTACAGGTAACTACACAGTTATGTTCATCAGGAACATTAATAACTAATGTTCACACAACGTTCCACAGCATAAGGAACATTAACAGGAACTATATCTGTCAGTGTGGAGAACGTCTCTGTCGGAGTGAATAGTTTCTGTTGATCAATGATCAATATTAAATAATAATAATAATACTGATTCCCTCCAAAAGTTTGTGGCTCCTCAAAGAACTTACATTGTTCAGACTGTGGTGGAGCCTCCTGCTGGTCACAGGATTCACTGCAGCTCTTCATCGTGTAGATGATCCCACTGGCCGTCTTCCTGGTTTCTGAACACAGTACAGATAATAAATACAAGTAATAGTAGTAATAATACTCTATAGAAATAGCAATAGTAGTGTGTGGTACTATTAAGAGTAATCTAACCTGCGTGTAGTAGAACTGATCGACAAGTGGAGGAAATAGCTTCTTTCGAATCTTTGTCTGACAAACCGAACAACAAACCTCTGACCAACAACTTCAGGAACACAACGTCTCACACAGTAACAGAACGTCACAGTAACAGAACGTCACAGTAACAGAACGTCACAGTAACACAACGTCTTGCAACAGTAACACAACGTCTTGCAACAGTAACATGTCTCACCCAGTAACAGAACGTCTTGCAAAGTAACACACATACACACAAACACAGTGAAGCAGCAGGATACAGGTTGGTGACATCATAAGGACCTCTGAGTTCCAGAGCCTGAAACACACACATCAGTTTAGATCTATCACTCATCAACATGATGAGTCAATAATCAAAACTGATCACTGATTGATCACTGACCTTCTCAGCTGCACTGGACAGGATCACGTTCTGAAAAACAAACTTTCATCAGTCAACGTCAATCTGTGCCGTCAGAGTGATGTCACTGTGATGACATCACAGCTACGACTAGGACGTACCCTCCCCTTGCAGCTCTCCATCAGACTGACTGCGTTAGCGATGGTGTAACGCCTCATCGTCGAGTCTCTGATGGCCGCAGAGTACGAGACCTCGAACGCAACACCTCTGTCTACAGCCTGGACACGGACACACGGACACACACAGTGAATGCAGCTGTTGTAAAATAAATCACTGCCCATCCTCATTAATAATAATCAATGATGATGATGACCTCACCCCGCTCACTGGTGCCCTCTTGAAGAAGAAGGGAAGTTTCTCTGTGACTAAAATGCAGATGATGTCGACGTCATACAACAAACACGCCGCCTGAACACAAACGCATCCTTATCAACATGCGCTGCATTCAATGACATCATGTGAAAACTTTATGTGAACAGGATGCAGTTGTTAATGATGCTCACATGGAAGAGTTTCTCTGTGGTCGGCTGGACGGCCAACAGGTCAAAGCTCCGATACTCTGCAGCGTTCGGCCTCTGAACACACACACACAGATTAAACATTTACAATAAACTGCAGCTTAATCAACCCTATGCTTTTATCCCGAAGGTCTGAGCTTTTATATTGGTGATCCTGTGAACATGAACACTCACAAAGTGACTGGAGTCTGACATCACAACTGTAAGTCTGTTCAGCACTCTGATTGGACGAGAGCGGCCCTACCAGAAACACACGTTAACACACTGACAACTCATTTCAATCACCATCAGCATCATCCTCACTCTACCTGTACGATGGGCAGCTGATCGATCAGCTCATTGATCGGCTTCGGCGTGGGGATTTCCTGCAAGCAGAAAACAGATGTGTTTTATCCTGCGTGTGACTGAGTTCCTGAACGCTGCACAGAAGGTGACACACTCACCTGTTTCTTCTTGGAAGGTTCAAACACATAGTTGATGGCAACAGTGGAGAAACCAACTGAAAGAACAAGACATCACACTGATCGATCATCAATCGATCACTAACAGATCAGACCTGATAGTATTGATCAGGTTATTTATATATTATATATCCTCTGTGACCCCATGTTGATGATTTTAAAAGCACTGATTTAATTAATATAAAGTCATTTGAGAGAACAGCAGACTGATCACAGATATAATAATAATTATATCAAAAATAAACTGTAGTTAACATGTACACTTTAACTAGTACAAGATAACTAAAGGTTAACTAATAAAAGTTAACTACAGGTAAACTAACGACTGGTGAGTTTAGACTCTGAAACGGAAACGTTAATATGACGTTTTTTTAAACGGAGTCTGGTGTAAAGGGTCCACAGGCCTGGAGCTCAGAGCGGGAGTTCGCTGACTGCTCTCCCCGCTGCCTGGTGGTGGTCCCCGGGTACAGAGGCCGGTGGAGGCCGGTGCAGACTCACGCTGAGCCGCGGACTCGATCAAGCTCCGGACGCAGCAGCTGGAGCTCAGGTTCAGATCCATGAAAACCGCCATGATGCTGCACGTGCTCAGCCGAAAGGTCTGCTGGGTGCTGTAGTCCCGTCTGCTCTGACGTCACATTCCAACGGGACCGAATGTAACGTTTAAGGATCAGAATAAAGTCAGACATTTCAAATCGCAATGTTTCTGTTTTATGTGATTTTACTTTGGATTCAAATACTAACTACATATTAATACATAATAATGTTACTTTTTTAAGATTCTTGTTAATATGTTTTTACTCCACTACATTCACTTAAATTATAAAGCACCATTAAAGTGATAGATAATAATAATCCAGTAATATATAAACAAATGAGTACTTTTACTTGACTATTCTTGATTTAAGTACTTTATTACTTTTATTGCAGCAAGATTGTGAGTGCAGGACTTTTACTCTGATAGTTTATTACTTAGTGGTTTTATTGTGAATTCTCCATGTCAGTTGTTTGTCCCAGGTTTTTATGGAGATGCGATTGATAGAACCTATAAAACCGGTGGAATCATTTCTTTCAACTTTTCATTTCAAATGATCTGTGATTTAAACTTGATCAAAATATTCACATATGATCCAAATAAATGAAGCAGAGGAACTTTTTAAATGATCAGTTTAAAAATCTTCAGTGCTTTTTGTGTTTTATTCAAAGTCATCAGATTATATAACAGACAGGTATATGTTGTTTTATTAACATTAACATCAACTAAATTTACATGAATATTCATTTTAATGATCTTTAAAATCCTCATGTTTTCAAGTTGCCTTTGTCGCCATGTTTACAGTCATCATAACCTCTGACTGTCGTGTTGATCTTCATCATGTCTTTGTATTTACTGCATTATGTTACATGTTAGCATGCTAACTCATTAGCCTCCGTAGCTTCTAGACATCAACAGTATCGTTAACATTGGTGTCCATACTGCCTGCCTAGCAGCAGTGTTCTCTCAAACATATGCTAATTAGCTCCATCTAGAGGCACCATTAATTTGGCTCAATCATACAGTGAGCTTTGGAATTATACTTCCCATGATGCTCGGCAGTATGTGTTCCTTTTTTGGCTCTGAAATCTCTCTGAGTTTCAGGACTCATCAGAGCCTCTGAAACATGACGTCACTCTCCTCTCTCGCTGTTGTTCCATCCATTCCGTGATGAGGCGGTGGGCGATGGCGTGTTTCGGGGGGAGCCAGGTGACGGGAGGGTCACCTCTTCTGGGTGGAGACTTCAACTGGAGGGCCAAGGTGATTTCCTCCAGACTGAACCAGCGAGCGTCCTCCAGCTCCGTGTAGTCGACATCCAGCTGCACAGAAAACAGCACTTGCTCAAACAGCTGCTGCTGAGGTGTGCTTCAGGGCTCGACCCTAGTGCCACCTCTGTTTGTAATCAAACTTTTCACCGGTGTCTTTCAGCTCACCTGAGTGTGGGTGGGGCTTACAGGGGCATGGCAGCCCAGCATAAAGGAGCTGTGAGGGAAAGGCCAGTGCTGCGAGGAGCTGTAGGAAATGCTGTCAACTTCTAAACCCACTTCCTCCGCCACCTCCCTGCACAAAGCCTCTTCCACAGACTCACCTGGACCAGACACACACAGGTGGGTTAGACCCGGTGAACAGACAGGGAACATGTGGACAGACAGGGAACAGGTGGACAGAAAGGAAACAGGGGGACAGACAGGTGAGTGTGTGACAACTGAGACTGACCCATGTCACAGAAACCAGCCAGAGCACTGTACATCCCCCGTGGGAAGGACGACTGTCGCCCTAACAAACACCGTTTCCCATCAGACACAAGGACAATCACCACTGGAGACATCTGCAGGGAGACCAGAGAGACAAGGTGAGACCAGGAACTAGTCAGAACAGAACATCTATACATGCCACCAACAACAAAATTACAACCTGGTTCAGATCCAGTTCTGATCCAGTTTAGGTTGAGTTTGGATTTTTTTTAAATTAGGTTCAGATTTGGTTTACCGTTGGATAGTGGACAGTCCCACTGCTCCTGCAGAATCTCTGACTTCCTCCCTGATTTCGTTGGGTCGCCTGACCTGTAGCGCTGCAGAACCTGTTGGTTTGATGCCAGTGCAACAGAGCCTGACCCTGCAAGACCATGATCAGGACAAAAATCGATTGTCCACACTGGACACTGCATACAGGTCAAATCTTTGTCTGAGCTGAGCTTTTAAAAAGGAGTATTTCAAAACAAAAGCATGAATCAAATGACAGATACGAAGACTTTTGTTGTAGTTCCTGACCTTGGCCACTAGAGGCACCTCTGAACCGGTCAGCAGAAAGAATGATTTCCGAAGCTCCACAAAGTTCCCCTCACACTCTTCTTCTACTGCTGCCTGATCCAATTCTCCTGCAGAACCGAACACAGCAGAACATCAGACCAGAACCCGCAGTCAGACGGAGGTCTAGATTCATGGGTTCTTACCAACGTCCAAACAGAACTGAGCCTGGTTCTGTTCAGAACAGCCGATCAGAACTGACTCCTGCAGCAGAAATCTGTCACAACCAAGTCGCTCCAGAATCAACTGCACATCTGGAATGTAAAACATCACCTGTGTTAGAACATCAAGCATATTTGTGCCTCAGGTTATGGTTCTACACATGATGTTCAGTGGTTCTACACCTGATGTTCTCATTGTCTTTCTTATTTACCCAAATTATATTCCCATCTATTAGCTTCTGTTCTTGAGGTTCTCCACCTGAAGTTCTGTTTTTCTGAGGTTCTATACCAGATGTTCTGTTTTGTGGTTCCCTAACTGAGGTTCCCTGTTTCTGTGGTTTTCTATCTGTTGTTCTGGTGTTCTCTACCTGGGATTGAGGTTTCCACCTGTAGGTCTGTTTTTCTGAGGTTCTCTAAATTAGGTTCTCTAAATGAGGCTTTGAGGTTCTCTACCTGAGCTGTTGAATGTTGCCGGTCTGAAGGTTCCTCTCACGGTACGTTGCAGGAGAGGAGACAGACGGTGGAACAAGAAAATGCAACTGTTCTCCAGCGCTTTAGCACACAATGAATCATCCTCCTTCAGCCTGTTCAAATACCTGAGAAGACGATCAATCAATTAATCAATCCATCAATCAATCAGCTAATCAGTTAGACGTGTATGTTTCCCAACCTCATCCTGGAGACATATCTTGAGCAGCTGCGGCTCGGCGGACCTTTTGAGGTAGAGAGGAGGATCCTCAGAGGTTTCAACATGGCTGCCACTCTGAACTAGTCTGGACCAGACTGATCTAGACTAGAAGGGTTTGAACCACTTCTGCTTCCTGCAGACAAGTCAGAGGGAACAGTCATCAGCTTTTTACAGAAACAGCAACTAGCTTAGCATAAAGACTGGCGGAGGGGGGGTGTTAGCCTTACTTAGCATGAAGACCAGACAGTTATTGTCTTTAACTATAGACCCTCTACACAGCAGCCATGTTGACATGAAATCACAAGTAAACACAGGTGTTATTACACATGAATGTTATTACTTACTTGTTTACTGTTTATTACTATGTCATGTCAAATGGCTGCTGTGAAAAAGATCAATACATGATTAATACTTCATTGATTCATGTTGATGTAAGAGTGAATGACGTGTTCTGACCTTGTACATAAACACATTAATTCACATGTTAGTGTTTATATCATAAACACAGAATAATGACATGTGTCTGTATGAAACAGTCATGAAGGAAACATGTCTGATGTGATCAAAGTCACAGAACAAAGATGATGAGGAAGACGGAACTCAGAGTCACAGTGAATCATTTCAAAGTAAAGCGTGTTTACCTGCAGCTCTTCTTCTTCAGCTGCTGCTTCTTCTTCTTCTGCTGCTGCTGCTGCTGCTTCTTCTTCTTCTTCAGCTTCTTCTTCTTCGTGTGCCTGTTAGAGAGTCGGCCGCCTGCAGGAATACAGGCAAGGAAATAAATAAAATTAGTTTTTATTTCATTTTAAACAAAAACACGTGGATGAATTTACTTAAATAAACGTATGAAACCAAAACTCCACGCTGAACAATAATCACAAATTATACTAATGCTAACCCTGCTCCCTGTTTCATGTCGGACCGGAAGAGTGAAGGACCTTTTCCTGTTCCGGTCAGCGCTGTTTGTAGTGAGTTGATCTTAAACTCGTTTTTTCTCCTCAACCTTCGTTTTGTTCGTTTTGATGAAGTAAAGAGACGAAGCTGGTGCTGGAGCGCGTTAGCTGCGGTTTGCCGGTGTTAGCTGCGGTTATCTGGCGTTAGCTGCGGTTATCCGGTGTTAGCTGCGGTTTGCCGGTGTTAGCTGCGGTTAT